AATATGGGATGGTATAGTATAGTATGGGATGGTATAGTATAACATGGCATGGTATAATATGGGATGGTATAGTATAGTATGGGATGGTATAGTATAACATGGCATGGTATAATATGGGATGGTATAGTATAGTATGGGATGGGATGGTATAATATGGAATTGGATGGGATAGTATAGTATGGGATGGGATGGTATAGTATAATATGGTATGGTATAGTGTAGTATGGAATGGGATGGTAGAATATGGAATTGTATGTTATGGTATAGGATGGTATGGTATGGGATGGTATCTCTGCTTCTATCACTCTGTCATCATCTTCATCATCCTCCAGCTGAGGCTGCATGACAATGGAAAAAAACACATTTCCAATACATTTTTGTGATACTGTAATATTTATAAAACAAAAGGAGCTGAAAATTGACCAGAAATAAACTTTAGTGAAATAGACCTTATTATATACCGATAGTCTGTCAGATAAGTCACTCGTTGTGCCAACAGCCACAAAGCAGTGCTGGCAAATCACTTGCTTCTGTGTGAGATTTTCGTTCGAATCCAAAATATTTCCCTGCAGCGGAAGACGAATGTCTTTCGGTGACCAGTCCTTGTTCCTCACTAATTTTGTTAAATTTCTCACATGTGCCACTGTCTGGGAGTGAGTCTGACCGCAAGGACAAAAATTATTATGATTGGCTCAGAGAGCATATGCAGAACTTATGCAAAAGCAGCGGAAGCAACCTTCAGACTGATTTATTAAGATATGCTACATAATCTTGAAATGGAACAATCCTTAAAATTGCAAAGCTTGCTTGTTTTTTATGACAGTAAAAATGTTTTAGCATAATTTATTGATTGTCTCATCACAGCTGACTATCACAGTCCTTGCAATGTAACGGTTGCATCTGCATAACATTGATGTCGATATTAAAATTACACACGATGCAGCTCTAATTGATACAAAATGTTGTATCAAAACTAAAAAAGCGGTAGATTGACAAACCCCTGTGCAGTCAGAGCCTTTGGCGTGTGGTTTTGACAGATTGTCAGTTTAATTTATACAGTCGCATTTTTTTGTGGTTGCACCCTTTATCTTTTTTTTTTGTATGCTTCACCTCTTCTAGCTTTTATTAAAATTGAGCTCTTAGTCAAACCACGTCTCTGTGCCCACTATCGCCCCCCTGTGGTCAGAGTTCTGGATGAGCCCAGGTGCAGGTTGGAAGATGTTTGTTTGCTGGAAAATCAATTATTTTATAAGTAATAACCTACTTTACCAAGCCTTGATATTGATACGCATGCTTCTTTTGACATTGAACAGACACTTTGCATTTTGAAGACGCAGTGAATCAGAGAAATACTTTGAAAGCATGTGTACCTCAGTAGAGGATACCTGGAATTTTCAGTTTCTATGTTTTTTCTTTTTTGCCTGCTTAAAGCTGCCTTTCCTTTGAGTGGATATAAATTATTTTTGGCAGTATTGGTTCCCTTGATGAATGGTCTGTTAAACGTATTCTTATACATGACTGTTTTCAAATACCTCTAAGACATGTACGCAGGGGTCTGTGCCGTAACATGGAAGCTGAAAACACTGCTGGAGTATTTTAAAATATAATATTTTACAGTTTCCCTGTCACATTCGCCAGGATTAGGAGCCTAAGATCCCCGCAAATGTGATAATTTGTCACTCGTACTTGGGCCCATTATTAAACATGTAAAATGAAAGGCACTGAAAAGTTACTTTGAGAAACACGACATTCCACGGTGACAAATATGACTAATGCATGACTGAGGCTGCTTGTCACGACAGAGATGGGATTTTGTGTGTGTGTGTATATACATATATACCAAAAAATAACTTTCAGTGTTAAAGATACAGTATGCACTTATACTAACAAATAACACTAATTTATGAATTGTATGATTTTATGAGATCCAAATCATTTTCAGTATTTGTATGTTTATGGTTACGTTTGCTTTCTGGAGTCAGGCACGTCTGTGAGTTCCTGTGATCTTTTGGCAAGTTTCAAAAATATCCCCATTTAATTGTTCATGGCCAGCTTATGAATAACCAAAATGGCGAATGCAAAATTGGCAAATCTGGAGGGGTGAGTGTGCTTGCTGGGTGGGCTTCTCTCTTCCTCTCTGGCCACGACCTGCTGGGATACTGGACAATGTCCTCTGTCCTGCTAGGTGTCCCTGTTCAGGCCCGGCTTCCAGTATCTGTCCAGAATAAGTTTCTCATTTGCCAGTTACTGGTATTAAAAAGAGATAATGACAATTTCTAAAACAGGAAAGGGCTGGATGTGTAGGATTAGGTGGATTTTGGCGGAACGTCATGTTTATCCTATTGAAAAGTCCTGGAACTAATTTGGGGCCTTGAAACCCCAATGCCGATGAGCCTTCGTTTGGGGGATGCGTTGTCACCCCCCCGCTGGTGTTGAATTTGCTCAGCTCCATCTTTTTTTTTTTTTTTTAAATCCGTGGGCTCAGCTGGCGAGGTTCTCCGGCCTGTCAGGCACCCGGCGGCTGGCTTTATGGGCCCTCTGGGAGGCCCCGCGGCCGCGTCCCAGCTCTGCTCCAGGACCATGAGTGGGCGGGGGGCTCAGGTTACCGGTGCTGGCTGTGTCTGTGACACGCGAGCGCCCACGCAGGAAGGCCGTCCTGCAGACATGTCTGATCCACTTCCACCAGCGAAGGGGCCTGGTTCCCGGC